GGATGAGTGAATGAATGGAGACTGGACAGAAGATGGATGGATGGGTGGATGGATGGGTGGATGGATGAGTGGATGGATGAGTGGATGGATGGATGGATAGATGAATGGATGTATGGATAGATAAATGGATAGGGGATGGGTGGATGGATGAAGAGAGTGATGGATGGGTGGGTGGGCATATGGGTAGAAGGATGGATGGGTGAATAATGTATGGCTAAAAGGGGAGATGAATGGATGAGTGGGTGGGTGGAGGATGGATGGATGGATGGATGGGTGGATGGATGGGTGGATGGATGGAATGAATGGGTGGATGAGTAGTTAAAGACAGGCTTAATGTTGTTTCTTCCAAGGTGACCCAGGATGGGTATTTGTGGGCATTCAGGGTGACCTCTCCCCAGGGTACAAATGCTTTGTAACCTCTCTAACAGAACTCAGCACAGGTTTGGACACCCCTGGGAATGGGAATCTTACTCCTTCTCAGGGCAGAACCTGCCCCACTGGGACAGACCTGTTTCAGGCCTTCTTCCATGGGAGTTCGGACTTGCCAGTCTGACACCCCCAGCCTTGGTTCTGACCCTGTGTCCAGGCTGCAGAGCCAGTCACATCTCACAGGTGAGTCTGATAGCTAGTCAAGTTCCTTGGAGGGTTGAGTTTTTTTTTTTTTTTTTTTTTTTTAAGACGGAGTCTGGCTCTGTCGCCCAGGCTGTAATGCAGTGGCGCGATCTTGGCTCACTGCAAGCTCTGCCTCCCGGTTTCACGCCATTCTCCTGCCTCAGCCTCCTGAGTAGCTGGGACTACAGGCACCCGCCACCACTGTATTTTTAGTAGAGACGGGGTTTCACCACGTTAGCCAGGATGGTCTCGATCTCCTGACCTCGTGATCTGCCCACCTCGGCCTCCAAAGTGCTGGGATTACAGGCATGAGCCACCGCGCCCAGCCAGGATTGAGGTTTTTTTGCATAGACAGGCACTGAGTGAGCTCTCGGCTTTGGCTGCTGATTTAACAATGGTTAGAATAGAAAGGGGGAGGCAAGGAGCTGGAGGTGGCTGCAGTAGCTACCCAGGGACACTGACTAGTGGCTTAGATGGCATGATGACAGCGGGCACAGGGCTGAGGCTGAGGAAGATGTCCTGGCAGTGGGGTGGGGGGATTGCTAATGCCGAGATATGGGAGGTGACGACTGAGGTCCTGAGGGTGCTTTGTCCTCTTGAAGGTTAGTGCTGGGTTCCAGCTTTGTCCTGGCTCTCTTGTCTGCATTTGAGATCCAGACATCCCTGCCCTGGGGTGGGCTGAGCCCTGCTCCCTGAGGAAGTGTGGCAGGTGTTCATCCTGTTCTGGAAGGTCACAGCAGGTGGCCTTGGGAAGGTCAGGATTAGGAGAGAAAAAAGGACGGCTGGCAAGGTGGTCTCATCATTCCTCTGATTTCAGGGCCAGATGTGATGGGGCCGGGGCAGAGGGTGCTGGAACTGGCAGGTCCTAGAGAGGAGCAGAGCCCACCCCATCAGCCTGCCAGGGGTGGGAGTGGCCTGCGCCACCAGACACTGGGTTGAACTCCTCCTCTCCCCTGCCTGCTCCTGGCTCCTCTTCTAACCAAAATCTGGAACCACTGGCTCTTCCTTTTCCCATCAAACCATGCCCTGCCCTGCTCATTCCTACGGGCTGTGTAACTGCCCAGGGCACTGCACTGGTGGGGCCCTGGGTCCCTGCCCTGGCACTCACTATAAGCCCCTCCTACCCCACTGGAAAGCTGAGGAGTAAGCCTGGTTGAAGGACTTGGGTCATGGGGAATCTCAGGGACAGGCACCCAAAAGGTGGCATCGTGGACGGTGAGGTTAAGGTCAAAGATAGGACTCTAAGGCTTGGAATGGGCCTCACTCACAGCCTGTGCTTGGGCCTTAACTGAGCCTCTTCCCCTATCATTGACTGAAGCCTTTTCCTGATCACACAATCACACACTGAGCCTGGATCCTGGTTAGAGATCGAATCCCGATCCTTGGCCCTTGACTGAGTCATACTCTACGGCTGAGCCACAGGCTCACACACGGAGCCAGGACATCAATCATAGATTAAGGCTTGGCACTGGTTACAGACTGAGCCCTGATCACCGGCCAAAGACTAAGCCCCGATCCTGATTCCAGGCTGAGTCCTGATCTCTGATCACTGATAGGCCTTGTTCCCAGTCTCTGTAGGGGGTGTGTGTGTGTGTGTGTGTGTGTGTGTGTAAATAGAGTCTCAGACTCGGCTTTGAGGCCACTTTGTGAGAGTCTTGAGGAAAGCCAGCTGAGAGCTGTGACATGTTTGATGGCTGAGAGCGTGTCTCCCTCTTGACAAAATCAGAGCTCAGGGTCACAGCCTGGATGCGGCATCCAAGACAGCACTAGAATGTTCCTAGCCTCCCCTGCCCCTTCCTCTCCAGGAGGCTGCCCTCATTCTACCCCCAAGGCGTCTCTGACCGATGGTCACTATGTTCCAGGTGGTGGGACTCACTGGGCTGTGGGGGCCTGGCCTCTGGGAGCAGGCCCTGGACCATAGCGCCCACTGTGGACTACAGGTCTGGTCCCAGGAGGGTGACACCCAGGGGCCCAGAAACAGCTCCTGGAGCAGGGAGGGTGAGGTGGGTAGGCTCAGTGGGGGTCTGCAGGGTCCAGGGGGAGGGGCAGGTTCCAGGGTGAACATTCTTCTCTTCTGTCCAGGCTGGGGCCCATCTCCTGCCACCACCTCCCGTGGGCAGCCCTTGGGAGGGGCCGGCGCTGGGTAGCAGGGCCACTGGGTCCTGTCCTTCCTCATGTCCTTGAGTTCCTTGTGTGTTTCCAGGACCACGTGCATGTGTGTGCATGCGTGTCCCTGCCTATGATCATGGGGAGTCTCAGCCTGGAGGCCTCTGGGGCAGAGGACTCCCTGGAGAGTTGCCTGGAGGACTGGGGCACTGACCTAGGGCCAAGGTGAAATGAAGGCCCCTTCTGCACCAGAACTTGTGCTGCCCTGGGCACCTGGCCCCCTGGGCACCTGACCCCCTGGGCACCTGACCCCTGGGCATCTGACCCCCTGGGCACCTGACCCCCTGGGCACCTGGCCCCTGGGCATCTGACCCCCTGGGCACCTGACCCCCTGGGCATCTGGCCCCCTGGGCATCTGACCCCCTGGGAGCAGAGCTAAGTGAGGGCAGGGATATGAAGTGGACATGTGGGGTGAGCCCGGAGAGGCAGGCAGTGGACTCACTGGGATCTGGCCCATGGCCTCCTCCTCAAAGCAGCCTCCACCATCAGCCTTGGGGCAAGGCCCTGCTTAGACTGGGGAGGTGGGTAGTGGGGTGCTCCAGGGGACAACCCCAGATCCTGGTCACTGCCTTGACCTTCTTGTCACCTGACAATGCCTTGCCCTCCTCAAGGCCTGCCAGATCTCTCCGTCATTCAAGGCCTGGCCCTAATGCCCCCTCCTCCAGGAGCCGGCCCTGACTTTAGCCTGGTAGATGTGGTGCTCCCTTGCCCATGGGTCTCAGCTCCTGCCCCACCCTGGTCAGGCCCCCACATCCCCTGAGAGCAGAGATCTGCATGGTTTGTGTGGGGGTCCCAGGCCCAGTGGCTGTTCTCACGATGGGATAGAGCTTAACATCACAGGAAGGCAGGAAGAGAGACAGACAAACAGGAACAGGGACATAGACAGGGTTAGAGATGCAGCTCGGGGCCCCTTTCTCTGCCCTGGAAGGCAGGTCTGTGCCCAGAAAGGAGACTCAGGAGTCCTGGTGCAGGGGGCACTTCTTCAAGGCATTCGGGGCTGGGCCGCACAGGGCCGGCTGGCGCAGCGCCATGGGGGTTGTGGGGGACTCTAGAGTCGGAGGTTCAGGAGTGGGAGAAGCGTGAGGGCCCCGGCCAGGCAGTGAGGGCTGTTCAGAGCAGGTGCCCCATCTACATTGCACAGCTCAGTGTTGCAGCAGGACACGGGCCGGGTCTGGCCGATGCCATCCACATCCGAGGGCTCACACTTGCTGGCGCAGGACTTGGTCACTGTGGAGTCCCCCTGGAAGGGGTACACTGTGGGGTGCGGGAAGAGTCAGCCGTCAGGGCTGGTTACTGCCTCCAAGCCCTGGTCCCTGCCGGCACCACCTCATGCAGGCCTCACTCTGGGGCCACCCACCCGGGTTTCCATCCCTCCTGGCCCAGTGCCCTCCTCTTCCTCTTTCCTCCCACTGGTGTTGTTCGGGTGTCTACCATGTGCCGCCTGGCATTCTGGCATTCCGCACCCGACCTGATGGGGCAGTTCTCACCCTGAGGTGACTGTGAAACCAAAGCCTATAAGTGTGCCCACCTTCCCCAGTCCCCCAAAATGAGGTTGCAGATGGGTTCCCACTGAAGGACAGGAGGGAGAGAGGAAGAAAGGGGAGGGCAGAGGAAGGCCTAGCTCAGGCAGAAAGCCATTTTTGGAGATGGGTGAGGTGGTGGCTGTGCACTGGGGCCACGCTGGCTGGTGGTGACTGGGCTGGAGGTGGCTTTGACCGGGAACCCAGCTCTGCCCGCCTTCCGTGCCCACTGACCTATCTCCCGGGAGTAGAGTGTTGTCTTGCACATGGTTTCATTCATGGTACAGGTGGCGATGGTGTTGCAGTCGGACACTCCTGTGGGCTCCAGACAGACGTAGCAGTGCAGGGCTGGCGCTGGGGAGAAGGGACAAGGGCTGTCAGGCAGGCTTCACCCCTCCCAAGCCCAGAGACAGTCTGTCCTGGAAGCCCAGGTCTGAAGGGGACAGTGACACTGGCCAGGGTCAAGATGTCCACCAGCCAAAACTCAGGAACAATACCAGGAGCCTGGGGTTGGGGACAGGCTGGGCTCTGCCTCAGGACCCTGCATTCCAGAGTCAGAGTCACCTGCTGGGGGTGGGGATCCAGCCGGCAAGGCCTGGGCGGGGCCAAGCCAAGTCCCTTTGGAAACGTTTGGGCGACTCAGGGGGACTGAAGCCATGGCATCTTCACAGCAAGAGGCACCTCAGGCAGGAAGTCTCAGGTGGGGGCATGGCTGGGAGCAGGTTACCCCCTCAGTTTCCCCATCAGGGAAGTGCTGCTGTGGGGGTTAAGGGATCAGGCCAGGAGGCCCATGGAGTGCAGGGTGGACCAGGCTACGTCCGGGCTGCGTCTGGGTGCCCACTCGTCTCCCACAGGGACTTACAGGCCAGCAGGGGTACGGAGAGGCTTCAATTCCCTCCTGCTCCAGTGACCCCAGCCCCAGCGGCAGCAGCCCAGGTGGGTCTGGCTGGCCCCCATGCTGGCTGGGGCAGCCAGCTGCACAGCTAGGCCTGACTCCTCCATCCCCACTTTGGGGACCCAGTGGGGCCTCTGCCCTGTCTGGTGCACCTGTTTCTGGGAAATGGGCAGAGCCATCCGCCAGGGGTCTCTGGGCCCAGCTGCTTCTGGTTGAGTCTAGGACATTGCCCTGATGGTTGTTTCAGGCCCCATGTGAGGGAGTCACCCCACCCCGTGTGTCTGGTTTCCCGACTCGTCTCCATCCCTACTGCCACCCCAGCCTCAAAGCCTCCCTGGGGTCCCCTTCCTTCCCCTGCTCAAGGCCCTTTGGGTGCCCATAGCTCCCCATAAAGTGCAACACCCAGGCTGGTGCCCAGGGATGTGGCTGGCTGCCCCCCACCCACCTCGAAGGCCACCCTCTGCCCACCCTCATTAGGCTCCCGCCCCCCTCACCGCCCGCCCCTCTCTCCATCTCCACCCTCCTCTCCTTATGGTCAGGGGTGGGCCACACTCCTCTGGCTTCTCCTGCCTCTGAGGTCCCTTCCTGGGGTGCCCTCCCCAGGAACAGTGCGCGAATGTCAGTGGGTGGCATCTCCCTCTGCCGCAGCTCCCCTGTGGGTCCCAGGCCTCACCGAGGTCTCCGCAGGCAGCCAGCACCAGCGCCAGGAGCGCCAGCCGCGTCCCCATCATGGTCCGGCCCACTCCTCTGTGCTCTCACCCTAGTGGGAGTGCTCCTGCCTGGCGGGGTACAGCGGACACCAAGTGAGGTGGCCGACAGACCGGTCCGCTGAGCGGATTAGTGGGATCAAGTTTCCCGAGGGTGGAGGTGTGAAGACCCCGCCCCAGGCCCGCCTCCAGGGGCTCCCCATCCTTCCAGGCTGCTCCTCCCACTCCCAGCCTGGCCCTCTAGGCCCACCCCACCCACCTGGGACCCTCCCTGTCTCTTCCTCATTCCTCCAGTAACAGGCGGGTCCCCTCCCGGCCCCTTCCTGACCCCTCCAGCTCCCGCCTCCGCTGCCGTGGCCTGGGGCTGCCCCCGCTTCCCTTTGTGGGGACCCTCCTTGACTCCTACACACCCTATGCCTCGACTCTTCTTCCCACTCCCCTCCATCCAGGACAGCCCCCACTGACTCACCCCAGGCAGCCCAGGGACCCCCTCAGACGGCCTGGAAGGGGACAGGGAAGGGTGGTGGGCCGCTCTCTGCTGCTGGCTCCTCAGGGATCCTTCCTGCCTCAGGTCATCTGTGTTCCAGGGCAGATCCGTGTGCTGGATCTTCCCATATTCTGGGCTGGAATCTTCCCAGGAGGACCTTGGTCCCACCTCCCAGCTCCTTTGGGTGGTCAGGCTGGGTGTTGGGGGCCTGGGACTGAACTGCCACCCGGACAGTCAGCTACACGGTTTGCTCAGAGGCTTAAGGAGACAAACACCAAAAACTACTGGGTTAGCAGAGAAGGTCCTGGATGGAGAGTGGGGTGGGGAGGAGCTGGGGTCCTTTGGGGGTGCTAATCCCATGCCCCCAGCCACCTGCCAGCTGGGCACCTTCATCTCTAACCTTCCGATAAGGCTGCCCTCAGGCAGGGCTTACTGCCTGCTTGCAGTTAAGGAAACTGAGGGAAAGTTCCTTGCCCTGGGCTCAGACAGGGGACAGTGACTTTGGGTTGGGATGACTCAGGCCATCTCCAGCTCAGCTCCCAGCTCCCCCTACGGACATCCCCCCAGAGTGCCTGCACCAGCCTCCCCAGGTTGCGTCTGGTCTGTGATCCTGCCACCTCCTGCTCCCAGTCCTGCTGCTGCCAGTGTGTAGCGTGTGGGGGTGGGGGGACAGAGGCATGACAAGCAGCCTGCGTCTTCCTGGGCCCTGGCCATCAAGGCCATGATGTCAGCTATGCCGAGACTCACACTGGAACTCTTCAGCCCGAGCACCTAAATCCCACCCCCTCCTGGTCTTTGCTCCTGCTGTTCCCACTGCCAGGAATGCCCTTCCCTCTCCTGCCCCATTGGTTGAAATTCTGTCTTTGGTAGACTGCACTCACCTGCCCGCACCCCCTCCTTGCCATGGCCCTTTTGGGGTCCCTGGGTTTTCCTGCTGAATCAGTTCTGTTTGGGATCTGGTCTTTGCCCCAGCGACTGAGAGAGCCTGTGTCTCCCTGAGCACTAGATGGGGGCGGAGTGTGCAGGGGTGGTGAGCGGGGCACCCAGGATTCCCTAGCACTCCACTTGTGTCAGAGACTTAGCCTAGTGGATCTCACTTTTCCTCACTGCAGCTCCAGAAGTGCACAGTGCTAATGCATTTATTTTGCATAAGGAAACTGTGGCTCTTAGAAGTAATTGACTTAGGCAAGGCCGCCCAGCCAGGGCTGGGTGAAGGCCGAACAGCAGCAAGCCTGTCTGGTTTTGCATGGTGCCACTCAGCCACGCTGCAATTGGCCGTTGATGCTGGGTGCAGCTAACTGGATTAGACACCCCACCCTACACACCCTGGGTTCCTCTTGAGGCCTGACCCAATTCCTCTGACATGGCATAGCCCAGCTCCTTCCTGTCCTCAGACCCAGGGGCCCCACCTGTGCCTTCTACCCAGAACACACGCCTGGCCCCCAGGCATCCAGCTCCTCCTAGAATTTCTGCCTGACCCCCAATGGAGAGATCCAGGCTAAGGCTTTCTGCAAAGTTGCAGCTGCCTGATTGGGGTGTGGAAAAATGTGGCCTAGCCAGGGTCTGGGCCGGCTTTGTTTGGGAGGACTGTGTTTTGAGAAGACCACACCCTTCCCTCCTCAGTTCCACTAGGAACTTCTGGGTCAGGGCTCAGTGTGTGACCAGAATCCGAGATCAGTGTATTATTAAGATCAGGGCTCAGCATATTACAAATGTCAGAGCTCAGCACATGACCAGGATCAGAGTCAATGTGTGATCAGGAGGAAGGCTCACCTTGTGACTAAGATCAGGGCTCAGTATGTGATCAGGAGCAGGGCTCAGTATGTAACAAATGTCAGAGCTCAGCTTGTATTCAGGATCAGGGCTCAGTGTGTGATCAGGAGCAGGGTTCAGCATGTAACAAATGTCAGAGCTCAGCTTGTATTCAGGATCAGGGCTCAATGTGTGATCAGGAACAGGGCTCAGCACATAACAAATGCCAGGGCTGAGCTTGTAATCAGGATCAGGAGCAGGGCTTGGCATGTAACAAATGTCAGGGCTCAGCTTGTGAGTAAGATCAAGGCTCAGTATGTGATCAGGAGCAGGGCTTAGCATGTAACAAATGTCAGAGCTCAGCTTGTGACTAGGATCAGGGCTCAGTATGTGATTAGGAGCAGGGCTCAGCATGTAACAAATGTCAGGGCTCAGGTTGTGACCAGGATCAAGGCTTAGTGTGTGATTGGGAGCAGGGCTCAGCATGTAACAAATGTCAGAGTTCAGTTTGTGACTTGGATTGGGATCAGTGTGTAACTAGGATCAGGGCTCAGTGTGTGACCAGAGACAGCCTCCAGGGATGACCACCCACAGTAATGCTGCCACTAAACTGAGGAATTGTCAGGCTGCCACTGGAGCTGCTGACTTCAAGAAATTACCCCTGAACTGTGATCCAGGGATCAGATGGGGCCCTTGCACCTGCTCCCACACCACTGCCTCTTTTCTGGGCACACTGGACCCCTGCTGTGAAGCCTTTCTCCAGGACCTTCCCCAGATCCCTCTCCATGGGCCGGGGTGAAGATTCAGGTCTGTCTCCTAGAGGCACTCTGGTGGGGGAGGGCAGCAGTGAAGAGAGGCCACACTCTGGTCCCTGGCAGTTTCTGCTGACAGGTCAGTGGGTCGGATGGTACCCAGGGTGGGATGGGAGCTCAGGTTCCATGGTCTGCCATGTCCTGTGCTACCCAGGGTCTGTCCATGGTCATCTGGTGTCCCATCATTACCCAGTGGTCTGTGTCTGCTCAGGCCCTGCAGTCAGTCAGTATCCTGTGGCTGCCCATACTTACTACATCACTGTTTCTGTTTTGGAGTCTGGGCATGGCTTCATGTTGCTGCTGGGTCACTCCCAGGCTTCAGTGCAGGCTTTGGCTGAGCCATAATCATCTCAAGGCTCAGCTTGGGGAGGACCTGCTTCTAAACTGGTGTGGAGTTGGCCAAATTCTGTTCCTCACTGTCTGTTGGTGGAGGCCGCCCTCAGCTCCCGGCCATGTGGGCCCGTTCAACGTGGCCACTAGTTTCGTCAGAGCCTCAAGCTGCACTAGCATCTATTGCTGGGTAGCAAATCACCCTACACTTAGTGGCTTAAAACAACACTCATTTTTAGCTACGGTCTTTCTTGTCACATGGGTTCAGCTGGGCTCTCTGCTCAGGGTCCCACAGGCCACAGTCAAGGTGTGGTGGGGCTGGACTCCAACCTGGAGGTTCCAGAAGGAATCTTCGTCCAGGCTCACTCAGGCACTGCAGAATCCGTGTCCTTGAGGTCACAGGGCTGATGTCCCTGTTTCCTTGCTGGCATCTGCGGAGGCTACTCTCTGCCCTAGGGCCTCCAGTCCTCCTTAGGTGACCCCTCTGCCTGCCAGTCAGCCACGCACACTGCATCCTCCTCCAGCTTCAGTCTCTGTCTTCCTTTTCTGCCACTAGCAGACATGTTCTGTCCCTGGCTGCATCTTGCACCAAACAGTAAAACCCCCAACTTTGTCATTCTCTCTGCAAGTGCTGAGGTTCATTGGAGGTGGCTTCTGGCCTCTGCTCTTGCCTTCCCCCTTCTCGCCTTTATGATGAAGTGCAGCTGTCCCCAAAGCCTCACCTTCCATGGCCACCTCATCCCAAGGGAGGGATTTGGAAGCTGATTTGTTGCTGCCCATCTTCTCGGCTGATGGACCCTCAGAGGTTGGATGACCAGCTCCAGAATCTGACCCTCAAGGGTCACTTGCAAGTAATGCCTTCTGATGGCTCTCAATGGGTCTTGAGGAAAGACTCCTGGAATGAGACCCCATGCCCACTGCTCATCAGGGAGGTGGTGGGCGGAGCCATTGCTCATCAGGGAGGCGGTGGGCAGGGCCTGTGCATGTGTATACCTTTGCCAGGTGGCCTGTGGCCAGGAAGCCCCATAAGCCAGGACCCTGTGTGGCCAGCAGAGAAGTAGGTGCCTTGTCTGGATTCCTGCCTTCCACATTCAGGAAATAGAGGTCGCCCCTAGGCTCCAGGGCCCCTGGGAAAGGGAGCTGTGGTTTTCCAGCCCCTGCAGCACCAGGCAGTGCCCTGGCATGGTTGTGGGTGGAAGCCAGGGCCTTCTACCAACACAGGCTGGCCCCAAGCCACAGTGAGGTGCCACAGGGGCAGCACTGGGGGCCTCTCCCCTGCACCCAGGGACGCCCTGCTTGTACACAGCCCCACCTGCTCTGCTCTTGGTGGCTTCTCCTCCATCCTCTCGCCCCTGCCCCGTCCTCTGCTTTGGGGCAGGAGTCCCCAGGCCCCATGTGGGAGGCTGTGGCCAAGCCCGGGGCAGGGCAGTTTCTGATCACACTCATATGGGATGGCCTTATTTCTTTTTTTGCCTCCAAAAGAGGAATTCCTCTATTTGAGCAGCTTCCTGGGTGGACCGGGAAAAGGAAGTGTCAAAAGTTCAGGCCTGGGGCACCCTTCCAGGCTAGATGCCAGCAAGGCTCAGGGAGGGCTGGCAGCCTCCAGCAAGGCCTGGGGGCTGGCTGGAAGGAGTCAGGTTTAG